GCCCCCCCCCCCCCCACGCCCCTCCCGTCTCTATCTCTCTCTCTCTCTCTCCCCCCTGTCTTTCTCTCTTTCGTCCATGTACCTCTCCATCCCAACTCCCTCGTCCTTGTGGTCTTCTCCTGGGCGTGCGATTCCCCCAAAGGTTCTCGGTAGGGGGCGAATCATCGAGTGCTCCGTGTGCGGCAACCGGTGGTTCCAGACGGCGGAACGTGCGCTCACGCTCACGGATAATTTCTTGATGAAGGTGCGTGTAGCAGCAGAGTGGCACAGGTCGGAAGAGAGAGGGCACGAGAGATCGATAAATAGCAAAGACGGTCCTTGCGGAAAACAGGCGGCGGTGTAGGTAGCCACCAGAGGCCGAGGAGGAGAAGTGACGGTCTGTTGTTCTCGGTGCCATCATCTTTGTAGGTTGTACTGGTGAGTGATCCCACCGGACGGGAGAGAGTCGAAGATGATGGCGGGTCGCGAACGATAGCCGATACATGGTTGAAAGCGGTACGGGACAGCCAACCAAGGATAGACGAGACCAGAGATGAGAGACGAGATGGGGAACACGCGCAGCAGAAGAAGCGAACAACGCCTCGATGCTGGAACACGGCAGGGCCATCATCAGCAAGGAGTAACACGCCATCCCCACAACAACCCTTTACCCCCGGGCCCTCTGCGCGCAGGACTGGACGGAAGATCGTGTCGCAGCAACCGCGGAAGCTGCCAAGAAGTTTGCAGGATTCAACCTCTTCGTGGGCAACATCCCCTTCTCCGTCAGCGAGAAGGTGGGTCAGGGAATCAGCCCCCCTCACCGTGCACCTGACAGCAGTTCCGCGATGTAGGCCGGGGAGAGAGCGAGCTCCCACCCTTCCTCCAGTGGGCAATAGTCAAGGCCCTCTGGAGGGGGATCCCTGTGTGTATGCGTTTGCTTGTTTGAGCATTGGCCACGGTAACCGGCTGACGAACAAAAATACATCAGTCTTACGCATGTGGGTGGGAGTGGTATATAAAAACATTTACGCTCTCTAGTCTAGTCCAGTGTTTTTGTCGTCTATCCCCCCTCGTGTTCTGTATCGTGCCGAGCGAAAGAGGGTGGTGGTGGTGGTGGTGGTGGTGTACGGCATACGGCCCTACTCGCGATTCATTCAATCGCCTTCGTCCCCACGGGTACTTCCTGCTCTGTAGTTCCCTCTGTGAAGATTTCTTTCTCAATATTTCCTTCCCTCGCCCCTCCCCCCCCCCTCCCCCTCTTTCTTCACGTCGCGATGGCGTTTGGTGTCGTCGTGTCGCCCCGCCCCACGCTACGACGCGCGCCTAGGACCTTGGCGCCATCTTCGGGAACTTTGGCGAGGTCAAGAGCACCGCTCTCGTCACGGACGAGAACGGCGACTCGAGGGGCTACGGCTCGGTCAAGGTGCGGAAGAACCCGGGTTCGATCGAGCGGGAGTGTTTTTTTTGTTTTATTGTCATGAACGTGGCTTGCGTCGCTTTCGTGGGTGGTGAGTCTTGTTGTTCTGTGGTGGTCTCTTTGTCTTGGTTACTTGTGCTTTGCTGCACAGACTCCATTTGGCGTAGCTCCATTTCTAGCTTGCCTTTGACTACATACAAACGAGGTGACATGTTCTCACACACACACACACCATCCAATACCCCCCGCATTCTGCGGGCCTCCCCTGCTGTCGCCGTGAACCATACTCAAACCCGCCGTGCTGTGGTGCTCGTACTGTTTTGTGTTTTTTTGGGGGGGAACCGGTGCGGACCCTGGTGACGATCGGCAGATGGGCACAGAGGAGGACGGCCGGAAGGCGATCAAGGCGCTAAACGGCATCGAGATTCAGGGGTGAGCAATAGCAAGCGTGTGGTTCCACCTACATATCTTCTCGTCGTCTGTGGCAAGCCACCTACCCGCCCGTCGCCACCACCGGATCTATTTTCGTCGGGCGACCACGGGTCTTCTGATGCCCTGCATGCCACTATAATAGTCGTGTGTTGCGGGGTTTTGGTTGTTTTGTGATCGGGTCTGAGGACCAGTCTCGGGACCGATCTTCCCGGAACCGTGGTGACGTCGGGTGCAGACTTGGCTTGCGTGCCGTCGTTAACAGCACCCCGGGATCGCCGCAGAAGTATCGCACACCAAGACGAAAGGAATTAGCGCTTCACAGAGTGGGAGGCCGAAGGTAGCACCTGGTACTTTCGAAGCATTGCTACGCACACGACCGAATGTCTTGGAATTGCGATCAACGTGAAACTCGCGTTCAGGCTATGCTATGAATTTGTTCGACGTGGTATCTTCCGTGTGGGGCGGGGAACGCCGCTCGTGGCGGCGGTTCGCCACGTGTACGTAGATACCTCTCCGCGTTTACTTTCCTGTTAAGAACGTGAACGTGACTAAATAGGTGTTACCGCAATCTTCAAGGAGCACGTGGTGGAGGAGAAGCGCCGGTCTCGACCCTGCCGTTTGTATGTTGAAGAATCGTCAGTGAACTTCTACCACACGCAAAAACGGCCTGCCCCTCCATGGTCTCCCGTTCCTTTCTCCTCCGGACCCCGATACTGCGGACACAAGCGTCCGCGTTTTCAAATTTCCGCTCAATTTTGTTTTCTCTCAAGATGACGGTAGTTTTTCTGGTTCATCGTTTCCGAGACCAACAAGACCCCCCCCCCCCCTTCGTTCTCTCTGCCCTCCCGCTCTCCATCCCATCCCATTCCATTCCGTCCCGAAACAGACGAAGCATGCTTGTCAAGGTTGGCGCCAGCAACTCTGCCGGCGGAGGTGGTGGAGGAGGAGGGGGCCGGATGGGTGGGGGAGGGCGAAACGGCGGCGGCCGAATGGGCGGCGGTGGCCGTGGCGGGGGATACCAGGGCAGAGGAGGAGGCGGTGACTACGGGGGGTATCAGGGAAGAGCGGGCGGGGGCGGGGGTTACTCCGGGCGAGGGTACTAATAGATTGGCGGGTTGGTCGTAGGTATTTAGAAATGGCGTGCTTAGGCGCCGGAGACTTTTGTTCGCCCTTCGGGAACGTGCCTACCTTCCTGCCTGGGGCTGGATCTTGCGTACCGGTACGGATGCGTCGTTCCGTGTTGTAGTACGGTACGGTGGCCGACGATGCCCGCGCCAGCAATTCCACGATTTTTTTGCGTCTAAATTTGCGTGTTTCGTTGCCCCAGATGGGCAACAAACAAGCAAGAGAAGAAACGGCGGTAGGTTTCAGCCTTTTTTGGGTGTATTCGACGCCGGTGCCCCCCTCCCTTGAGCTGGGGCGGTTCAAGAAATTTCGACTTGTTTTGCTATGCAGTTGTTCCTGATGCAGCTGCTTCGTTAGACCTTAGAGCTAGGTTTCATTTCAGGTATATTTTGCGACGACGGCGTACTTTTGGCTCTCCCCTTACGATCTCTGGTGATCCATGTTGGTCGTCGCCGATGTTTTTTCTGCCTTGATCCGCGCGTCGATTTTAGGGCCGTACAGAGAGCTTTTGTAATCAAACGTAACACATTTTCCCCACAAGCTGGGAATGCGAGAAACCCACTGCATGGGTGCACTCGTTCATTGCCGTTTTCACGCCATGGTTGGGCGGACGCCGGTGCTGTGGAAGACCGGAACGGGATGGAGTTGTGAAATAGAGTTTCTTGTTGAATTGTTTGGTCTCGGGAGTTTCTGTCGAGAGTAGCCCCTCGCCGTGCCTGGCGTTCTTCGGCTTGTGTCGCGGTAGAGTGTTTCGCGGAAAAAATTGCTCTCCTTGCTCACACATCAGTACATAGTGCCATGAACGTTGTAGCACCTGCTTTTTGAGGTTGGCCAGCGCGTACGCTTGAGATGTTGGCACACACCCAAACGCGCGCGGATTGTGCGCGGTCAGAGAGCCGAATTTCAAACCAAGCTTTACTGTTTCTCTGCGTGGGCTTGCCGAGCTGGGCCTGGTGCACCTGTGTATTCATTTTAGTGTTAACGAAAGCATCGTAGAATACCTGCGCTACAAACCTGCGTTCACAAAATGAAGCTGCCCTTGTGGGAAGCGAGGAAACGCCCGGGATATTCCTCGCTCGAAAACTCGCTGTCGACAGCACCCGCTTGTGGCGGCAACTGCGCTTGGATTGGCAGCAGAATCTCGTCGTGCAACCAAAAAGGAACCAACGATTAACCCGGCACGGTCAGGCAGGCAGGCACGAGAAGATACTAGAAGGAAACAACGGTCAAGCAACCAAGGTGAAAAAATGCCTGGTCCTCTTCTCCTGTTTTTTTCATCACCAAAACCTGCGCAAAAACACATGCGGTCATGAGCTCGATTGACACCGAGATGGCCCCTCCTCGCTGACACGAAACCTAAACCTGACGACAAACGGAACGGACCACGCCGCAAAGCACGCTCGCCGCCGTCAGGACGACGAGGTGAGCTGAGACCCGCTCTCCCCACCGCCGGTGGGCCAGTGCCATCGCGCGGTCATGACGTCCTCGTACATGCGGATGTCCGGCGCTCGACAGTAGCGCAGCAGCACGGCCGCGTCCTCCTCCGAGACATGGAACTCCTCCAGTAGGCCTGCCGGGGGAGGGGAACCGGCGCCATTTGCCACCCTCCTGCGAAAGAGAAATCAAAACACCGCCGTCATCTTTAAACGTTCTGGATATCTCTTCTTTTGTTTCTTTGTTAGGATCAGCATGGAGGTACTTGGCGTCATATTTCAACGCTCTCTATTGTGTTTTTGTGTCGCAACGATCAGCATGGAGATACTTGGCGCGAGAGGCCGGTGGGTGAATAACGTCGGGACATCCACCATCATGAATATCAGCAGCAGCACGGTTCATATACTTGGATACACAAACGCAGAAACCGAGCGTGGGCCGGCTCCGCTCCCGTCACAAGGCATTGCGATATTGCAGGCCGCCTCAACCACCGCGCCAAGCGCCTCGTACGTTTTACACGCAAAACGACGGCTCTACTGCTTCTGGTTTTATCGGCCTGTCCATATGTTAGCATGTGCTGCCACCGAGAGGATTTCTTAATCTTGCCTGCGACTCTTCACTACTTCTTCTGTGTTGTTAAGAAGAAAGGAGACTTGGAATTCTCAACCGCAGGGTTCTTAAGAGCGCTGCCTTGCGTCCTGTACCCAAGAGAAGCAACACGCAGATTTCGTTCGGGAAGAGCGGGTACTGCAGCGAGACCCACGAAAACAAAAAACCATAATAACTTAACATGAAGACATGGCATACCTTTCCAAGAACGCCGCGAGCTGAGTTTGTGTGAGCAAGCCCTTCTTGGCATCCACCTCGCCGCTCTTCGCGACCGCCCTTGTTCGGTCCTTCGGTAATGGCCGGGGAGTCTTGCTCGTCACCATCTCAGAGGCATCGGGCACCAGTTTCTGCAAAAAGAAATGGGCATTGACCGCGCCATGTTACCCTTGGCCACGCATGAACAGAAACAGCACCATCGCGGCCATCTTTCGGGCGCCCAATGATTGCCAAATTGGATGTACACTACCTGTAGGAATCCTTTGCTTTTCATGTTGGGGGGTAGAGTGAAAGGATCAAGAGGCCAAGGAGTGGAGGGTTCCAGACAGCAGACAAGAGAGACACGGCGGAACGCCAGAGCAAACATGGCTGAGAAAAGGAAAACGAGCAATGGAACAAGGGTCAAAAAGCGGAGCGAGTCTTGTCGGGGGTGGGTTATGCCGTGGAAGCATAGGCGGAGAACCCACACGAGGGCAAGCTAAACAGAGATTTGGCGCAGTCGACACGAGAATGCGCTCACCACCCCTCACGTCCACCTACACGCATACGGAAGCATACGTACGTTCAAGCACAAACTTAATTTCCACCTTTCTTTTGGTTTGAGTTTCGTTCGCAGTCGTCTCGCTCTTGACATGTCAAACTGCTATAGACGAGTACCTCACACGATTTCCTGTAATTCCGAGGGTCAAGTCACCGCTCGATTTCTGTGCCAACAACTGAGTGCTGTTGGAGGGGTAGGTGGCACTCAATTGCTACTGTCGCAGCCAGCGCCGCCGCGACCATTAAGGCTAACTTGAAATAGAGAGGGACCCCCCACCTGGTGCGTGAGCTCGGCCTTGCCGACTGGGCCCATCGCCATCGCCTGGCGGAGGATGTCTGCGTTCATGTCAGGAACCTTGGAAAGCAGGAGATACGAGCATGCGCACGGTGATCAGGTGCGAAGAGGGGAGAAGGGAAGGAGACGGTACTGTGGTGACGTGTCGAGGCGGGTGGGTTGTTGATTGAAACCTGCCAAGAAGCACGACGACCACTGGGCTACTACCAGTCAGCGCTGCCTAGTACGGTTGTCCAGCAGCCATCGTGCTTTCAACAAAGGGTACAGCAGTACATGTACATGTATGCATACACATGGCTCTTTGATTGTGTGTATATTGTACAAAAAGAAGCTAGTACCGGAGTCCGTCTACAGCTGTTGAGCCACGAAAGGGACGATGACCACTGGGCTACCAATCGGCACCCACTAGTAGTCCAGCGGTTATCACTTTTCAACAAAACCCAATTACAGCAGCATTGGTACCCATGTGCTCGATGCTTGCGGGCGTGCGAGAACATATCCCCACCTGCTGGTCGTACATCTTCTTCGCCGCTGCCTGGGCGTCTGGTCTTGACATCTCGACAACTGCTTCGTATCGCGCGAGTGTAACGTACGCATGGGTTAGCGGGGCGATAATACGTCAAAGCAGCGCCTCCCCGACTCATGCTGTATCTGCCAAAGGCTCTTCTGTGTTGAGCGTTCGACACAGCTACCACACGCATGTATGTGTACTGTAGTTTCCTCGGGTCGAAAGGAGTGCGTGCGAGAGAGCTACAGTACATGCGGTCTTCTGCGGCTTGCACGCAAATACCCAGCACATAGGTTATACCGTCATCGCTCGTGCATGTGCTACAATACACACGGGTTGAAGCTATGCTGCAGCTGATGTCTCGTACTTACATGTAGTACAGCGGTATCACTGGAGCGACAGATGATCGGCGCAAAATAATTTGCAGTTGGTTTGCTTTCTCGCCAGAAGAACATCTTCGCCATTTCCAGGGGGTGGGATAGACTATATCCGACGTATTGCTGTGGCCATCGTTCGAGTAGAACAGCTGTGGCAGCTATGTCTTGCTACGAACTACCTTGCTTGGCCGGTTGCATCCCAGGTTGCGTGCCCTGGTGTTCCCGCTTCGAAGCTTCGAAACACCCCGCACTCGCTGGGCTCAAACGTACCGCGACACCCACAAGGAAAGCGTCGTTGGGTGGCTGCCTCGTGCCAGCATGAACACATACGCACGCAAAATCCTACAATAGCAACAGGTGAGCCGGTAACAACCCAGCTAGGCCGCGACAGTTGGACCACTGCTTGATGCACCAACGAGGGAAGTATCATCCATGCTGAGGCAGACTGCATGATGTACACTTGCCTTTCTTAGGCTTGAAATTCGTAAGGAGGTCGTCGTCTACTGGCAGATGAGAGCCCATTGGAGGAGTGTTTTTTCCAGCAGACGCCCCAGATTTGGCCACCGACCTAGCGGCTCGCCCAGCGGCCGCTCCTCCCTTGCTCGAAGCACCTCCCATCTTGTTTGCGCAGCTGTAAATCCGTTGTTGCGTGTGCGCCTCGCGCCTCCTGTGCGCTGTGGGCGGCGGAACCAAAAGTGGACGACAGAGCAAAACGGGTTTGGATATCGGTTCGGCAAAACATGTAGCGCCGCGTTTTCTGCAGCTCAGTATAGCGAGTAGCGAGGGCGAGCACAAGCAGAGGGAGGGTGGAGCATGTATGCACGCTTGCGCTTCGTGTACTTGTTGTTCAGATCTGGGTCGTATGACTCCTAGTAGGTGCGCTGCGCACACACGTTGGTTGACTGAGGGCTCTCATCGCTAGAAAATCTGGTCACAGAGTCACACGTCCCGCCCGCTCGATTCGACCACAGTTCCTCTTTGTGTGTGTGTGCGAGAAAAGCAAACCCTGAAAGACGAAGACTGGCTTTTCTCCGGAGTGGGATCACTAGAAGCGTGATGTGTTGTGATCCAATGACAGCTCGCCCCACGTTTGATGAACGACGAGGAACGCACATACATGATGAGTCTGGCGCGGGCGTCATTGAGCTCTCCCTCCACGGATGGATGTGTAAAGTCACTGCCAAAGACCCCCAACACATCCCCTTTCGACAGCAGTGGTATTATCTCCAACGGATAGTCTTTCAGTGATTGTGTGGAGTATGCATGCTAACAAAAAGTCACTAACGTACGTGTTGCTACAGCAGTACGCCACTACGTACGGTGCAGGGGCACCCCTTCCTGTCATCAACTCTGTACCCAAATTTATCGTCTCCTAAAAACCGAAAATTGTGGAGACCACCTTCATAAAGGTAGAAACTCCCCAACGTCTGTCGAGGACGATTCCCTCTTTTCACAATGGCGTCGACGAAGAGATCCGAACTCTCGCGGGCATAGCCCAACGGCTTAGCAAAAAACCCGCTGGTCACTAAATTTTCTTCCGGATAACGGAAAAAGAAAAACGGTGGTTGGGCCAAGGGAGGACGCACTGGCTATCGAACTCGGAACTTCTGAAAACGTGGCGGACGTAGCGAACCCGTAAAACACGTACAGAGGATTGTGAGGAATGTGAATCGCCCCGCCGCCAGCCGGTCGGGTTCCGGTTACCCCAAGAAGACTTCTCTTGCCTGGGCAACAAGAAAAAGTCTCGAAAAAAGGGGGGGGGTAATGTGGAGACCACCTTCATAAAGGTAGAAACTCCCCAACGTCTGTCGAGGACGATTCCCTCTTTTCACAAAATTGCTTAATTAATTGCTTGATTGAGATTGTATGGATTTATTGAATTTGCCAGAGCAGTGGCAAGTAAGTGTGAGAGGATTCGTAGAAGAACTGTTCCTCCGTACACGATTTCGCTCTTACAGAAACCGGGCTGCACTGACTGACACCTGGCACCAAGGCTATTCGTTGTTTTTTTGCTGTTGAGAAAGGAGTTTTTCACCACAAGTCGTACAGAAGAGTGGGCCGCGTGTGGGTGTGCTAGGGGACAGACTGCTGTCCGTGAGCTTACCGCCTTGAGTTCGGTTCCCCCTACTTTGGCTGGCGATTTTTGCACATGGCCAAAGAGCGTCGACTGCAAGGCGCTTGCGCCCGAAAAAATAATTGATCTTGCCTCCATATGTACTCCTCAAACCTAAAACCAATTCAATGAAGAACACACCCCATATATTATATTGCGAAGCCCACGCTGCACCATAAATGTTCCACACTCACTCACTCACGAAGTTCCGCAGACAGACTCAGAGGGAAGACCAATCACAAACACACCTTCTCCTGGCTAACAGCAGTGAACAGCTTTGCCTTCCTTACCAAAGAAAATACATACCCTCTGTCACAAACACCAGCCTCACTCTATAGTCTACCCAACGAAATAGCCTCCAAAGCACTCCGTTCTTTCGAGGTACAGGAGTAATAGTCTACCCGTCTACAGCAGTTGTACCCAGCCGCCCTAGTGCAACCCAAACCGTAAGTACCTGACGAAACTATTAATAGCACGCCCACCCGATGTACAGGCGCGTTCAGAACTGTCCGGCTTTGAAAAAGAAGCGCACCACACAATAATTTCACGGTGCACAAAATGTGGGGCTGTATGCTTTGAACGTACGAAGCACCTTTGTACAGACTATCATCCACTTTTTTTGTAGTTTACTCAAAATATTCTACAGTTTTTTTTCTTTTGTTTTTGCTTGTAACTTTCAGCAAGGAGGAGACCCCTGTCCACACTTATACGGAGCTTGAATTGAGTTGTCCGCTTTCGTGTATCGTTTCAAAGCCGGTTGGCGTCGCCACCAGGAGTAGGCACCAGGAATCTATCGACTCTTATTCGATCCGATCCAAGTAGTGTAGGAGTTTAACCCACAAAACCCCCCTTAAATGAACGAGCTTACAAAGTAGCTCCCCGTCTGGTCTACCTTGGAGCTACATCACTCGTTCCCCTCGCCCCCCCAAACCGGAGCCGCCGTCTTCCCCGCCTCCTCGTCCCCACCATTGAGCAACGCCACCATACCCTGAGCACCACGGGATCGGCGATGGTTCTGACTACTACATCCTCACGGCAGATTAGATGTAGTCCTTCGCACTGCCACTGCCGCTACCGCTGCAGCCTCCGACCGCGGAAGGAACCCGGGGTAGAGCCGCCGCCGTCGCCCGCCGCCATCCCTGTCATTGCATGGTCCAACCGTTCAGCGGGGGGGGGTCCGCTGAATGTTGGCCACCGAGTCTGGCGCGATCTTCGTTCTTCTGCTGCCGTGGCCTCTATGGACCACGGTCGTGGTCGTCGTCGTCACCGTCCCCACCGCTGCCGTTGCCGCCGCCGCCATCGCCAGACCCTTCCTCCTTGGCCACCGAGTCCCCTCCCCCCGCCGATGCCCCTTGCTCGCTGAACACGATGGACACGCCCGCTGCTCCGAAGAAGGCGCCACGCGCTATGTCCGAAGGCGACAGCGTGCGGAGCAGGCCGTTCAAGGCGGCGGCGCGAACGAATCTGTCGTATTCGTCGTAAACGCCTCCAAGCTCTTGCCCGGTGAGGGTGTGGTCGATGCCGGACTGTTCGGCGAAAACCTCCATATAGTCCATCGGACCGGGGCAGGTGAGCTCCTCCGGCATGGTGAGCATTAGATAATAGAAGAGTGCCAGCAAGATCGTCTTGGGGTCGTCGGCGCCTGGCTGGCCAAACACTGGGCCGCCGTTCTTGCCCCTGCCCTCCGAAGCGGCTTTCGTGATCACCAGCATCTGGTCCATGGTTCCATAGAGGTCAACGGAGCTCTCGTCAAGCTTGTCCAGCCGACTGATTGCGTGTGATACACACGCCGCGGGCAGAAGGCAGAGGTCTTCGTCGCTACGCCTGCTCAGGAATCCCGGTATCGCGGCGATCACCCCGAGAGCGACGGCCGCAAGCGCGACGATGGGCGTCGGCACATTGATCGTGTCGGTGATCTCTCTGATGACTGACAGGGCCCACCTGACCTTGCCCTCGGGGATGCTCTTGTAACCCTCCCTGCATCTGGGGTACGCTCTCTCTTCGAGGCAGAGGTAGGCGTCCACCAGCTTGTCGGAGCGGCCGTTGTTGTAGTGGCCGCCAACAGCAAGGCCACCACGTGCGCACACTTCGTCGTAGTACGCATCCTCAGAGTGACTCACCAATGGCGGAGGAGGTTCGTCGTCGTCGTCGTCGTCGTCGTCGCCGCCGCGGGAGCCACGGTCGGAGTCGGAGTCGCGGCCGGAGTCGGAGTCGGAGTTGGAGTCGGAGTCGCTGCCGGAGTCGGACCCGGAGACAGAGTCAGAGTCGGAGTCGGAGTCGGAGTCTCGGGCGGAGTCGCGGGTGGAGTCGCGGGCGGAGTCGCGGGCGGAGTCGGAGCAGGACACAGAGGTGGAGTCGTAGTCGGAGTCGAAGATGCTGACGACACCAATAGCAAGTCGGCCACGTGCACGCACTTCGTCAAAGCCCTCATCCTCCGAGTCGCTCACCAAAGGCGGTAGAGGTTCGTCGTCGTTGGAGCCGGAGCCGGAGTCGCTGTCGCGGTCGGAGTCGTGGTCGGAGTCGCAATCGGAGTCACGGTCGGAGTCGGAGTCGCGGTCGGAGTCGGAGTCGCTGCCGGAGTCGGAGTCGCTGCCGGAGTCGGACCCGGAGACAGAGTCGGAGTCGGAGTCGGAGTCGGAGTCGGAGTCGGAGTCGCTGTGACCACCATCACCGCCGTCGTTCTCCTCCTCCTCACTACCATCGCCATCGGTGTTGCTGTCGTCCTTGGCATCGCTGTTGTCGTCGTCGGTGCCGTCGTCCGTGTCATCGGAGCCCGGGTCGGAGTCAGAGTTGCAACCGGACCCGGAGACAGAGTCGGAGTCGGAGTCGGAGTCGCTGTGACCACCATCACCACCGTCGCTCTCCTCCTCCTCACTGCCATCGCCATCGGTGATGCTGCCGTCCTTGGCATCGCTGTTGTTGTCGTCGGTGCCGACGTCCGTGTCATCGGAGTCGCTGCCGGAGTCGGACCCGGAGACAGAGTCGGAGTCGCAGTGTGAGTCCGAGTCACGGTCGGAGACGGAGCCGGACACAGAGGTGGAGTCGTCATCGGTGCCGCTGTCGCCCTTGGCATCGTTGTTGTTGTCGGCGATGCCGTCGTCCGTGTCATGGCTGTCACTGTTCGCGCGAGGATGATGAGGCGATTCCCGCAGCAGGGCGACGTTCTTCGGCGTGAGGGTCGACTGGGCCCACGCAGCGCGGTGAGCCCTCTTCGTGTCCACCAAGGCCCTATCCTTATCAGGCTCCCCCAAGGTTGCCTGTGGCAATGCCTCCTGCTGAGCTGGCGGTGCCGGCGTGCCGCTGTGCTCCTCCTGCCCCTGGGATGGCTGGGACTCCCAGAGCGGTTCGAATGAAGCGAACTCGTGGAGCGCCCGGACGCTCAGACGCTCAGATGGGTCGTCGTGCAGCAGGCCGGCGAGAATACGGACGGTCTGTAATTAGAGGAGATATGTCGTGGGTGCGATGCGGCGACCGATTAGGAATCATCGAACGATAATAGCGCCGGGAGGCACAGCCCCGTGTCAATGTCGTTGTTGTGTTCAGGGTCTAAGTGAAGCTGCTAAATCGCTAAGGCGGTAGAGCTGCGTGGTGTTGGCGATGTTTTTTCGCGATGACCACAAAACGACTTTGAACCGGGGCAAGGTTAGCCGTCGTAGTCAGAGTTCTAAAAGAGGCTTGGGTAGGGGTTCGATTCTACCCCGAACGAGATCAACTTTCAACCACTATCTAAACGCCCTGCCTGTTCGTTGTTGGAGGGATGGAGCTAGAAATAATGGCGAAAGGAAACCGCCCTGTGTTTTAACCAGGCATCCGAGTCTAAGCATCTACTACCCCCCCCTGCGCACCGATCAACAAGGCGAGCTTGGTGTAGATAGACATGGGTGGGTGGGCAGCAGAAACACGTTGAGACTCACGTGTTCCCTGAACAGGAGGGGTGAAGGCGGCCTGAACACCTCCGGGCTCAAGATGGTTTCCTTCGTGGGCCTTCGCGTCTCAACCTCCGTCTGGACGGATCTCGTCTTAATCGACGATCCGAAGCAGGGGCAGCAAAGCGGACCAGAAGAAGCAGGACAGGGGGGGGGGGAGAGGTAGAACGATGAAAAAGTTGAGATGCGGTTGTTGTGTCTTGCTGCTGCTATTGTTAATTGCTGTGGCTTGTCCTGCTCTTGTTGGCTGTCTTGCCCTTCATGGGTCGTACATCACACGCTCACAGACCAATACATCGGTAACAACATGGTGCGACCGGTTTCACAAACAATCGAACCTCCGAACAAGAAATCTCGAACCTCCAAACAAAGCACCCTCACCTCTGCCGATAGCGGAGGCATGGGGTCGCGTGCGAGGACCTGGTAGCATATCTGTCCGAGGGCGTAGGCGTCAATACTCTCCCGGAGAAGGACGGGGGTGTTGCACTCTTTGGTGGCGTAGGCCATTGCCTCGGGGGCAAGGTACTCGAAGAAAAGCCCCCCGGAAATGTGGTCCTTTCCTAGTACTGCTCAGAGCATCAAGCACAATCGCATCGAAAACGACCATTAATTGAACCGGTTCTACGTCGCCGGTAGAAACAGCAGTATGCCCGAAGAATATGGTGCAAATGGACGGCATACCATGAGACGGGATGAGGTGGGATGGGATGGGATGGGATGGGATGGGACGGAAACACAACGTGTGGGAGTACGCATCGGGGCAGCGCCGTCATGTGTGGAGATCTGCACCCACTAGTCTACGCAGTGTTTCTTAAGTAAGCAAACACCCTGGATAAAGTATAGAATCGTCTTAAGTTGGGGCTCGGGCTATGTTTGGGGTCTGCTAACCCCCCGCCTGGTATTTTTCGTGATAAACTTGCTCTCTTTGCGTAGGCAGTCCATGGCTTGATCGAGTTGTTTGAAACTCTCACACCACACCAACGAACCTCCGGCACTGCCGAAGTCGCGGATCACCCATCTCGCGTTTTCGCCGGAGACGACCCGCACGCTTTTCGGGTTGATGTTGCCGTGAGCGAAGCCTTGGTCGTGGATGCTCAAGACCCCGGTGACGAGACCTCCAAAGAGCCTGTGTGAGACGAACCAGCAAAAATACACGCCAAAACACGTGCAGTTAAGGAAAAATACCGAACACTTTGTATGTGGGTAGGAACGACTTAGTACCGAGTAGGACCGACGAAATTCAACCATGATCAGGAGCCGTACGAATCATAATGCCGTCGGAGAACCAACAATCAACAATCAAGGACAAACGGCCTGCTTGCCTTAATTTTCGTGTGGTGCTCACCTCATCATGTCTAGGTTGGACATGCCTTCGTGAAGGTGCGGATCGGCCAGCATCTCGTGCAGGTCGAGGCCGGCGTTGGCGAAGGCGAGGGTCAGGAAGTCGCTGCCGTCGTGGGGACCGGCCAGCTCGATGGTGTAGTGAGGGGAACCGAGGCTGCACGTACATGCAACAAGTACGGAGATATAGATAGCAGCACGAGGCCGGATCAATGGACCGGGAGGGAGAGTGTAGTCACCACGAGAGCGGACTCATCTTCTGTATCTTAATGCGTTTGCAGCCACTGATACAACCGCTACTCTACTGCTTGCGGTTGGTCTGAAAAGTAACTTCTCTTTCGCAGAGAAGCGAATATCGCTCTCTTGACAGTTGATGATGCGGGCCATGACTTCTTAGTAGAGGGAGTTCGCAATTTGGTGCCGCAAACCCTAACAAGTACTACTTTGTGACAAGAATGGGAGAGCAAGCAACTCTTGTGTACACAGGGCAATGCCGTATGCACGCAAACAATTATGGTGTATGCCGAACGACCTGCCTAAAATCCGACAGAGAATTCTCACCTCCTGAGGGACTTGAGTTCTCGCGCCATCCGGTTGTCTTTGGTGACCCCTTCTCCCTGAGCGGCCATCGCGCGGGCTGCCTCCGGCACGGTTGCGGTAGCACCTCCGATGCCGGAGACGAGCACTTAGGGAAGGAAAGAAAAAGTCGGGCGAATGCTTCTTGTTAACGTGTGTTGCAGGGTATATTGTTTAGTAAAATTGTTTAGAAAAATACGACCTGAGCAACTGCCAGCGACGGCAAATAGATGGGGTTGAGAAGAAAAGAACAAAGAACTAATAAATCTTACCGGTGGGCATGTGCCCGTCGAGGGTGATCATCTGTCGTCCCGTAACACTTTCTGCCGAAGTCTCTTGGCTGGATCCCGCATCACCCCTTCGGGGCCTTTCCATCATCGTCTCGGTTGGTGTCGCCTCAGAGTCGTCGTCCATCACATCGTCGGCGCACGCCGACGGGGGGGTTGGGGCGGAGATCACGTTTTCCGCGCCCACCCCGTTTCGTTCCGAGAAGGCGTTCGACCTATCACGAGGCGGAGGCGAACAACGGTGTGATGGAGGGAATGGACGGAGGGGCGGCGGGAATCAATCGCCGCTGCTTATGCATGCGCGTGCAGAATTGCAGATAGTATTATTTAACTAGTGAAACGATCTTGTCAAAGAGAGGTAGGTGCGATCGACACCATTTAAAGATAGTACAGACCAAAATAAACGGCAAGAATGAGCTCGCCAATGAGGGAGGTGTGGAACGATTCGGACGTGTCTGGAGTCTGTACTGCTTCTCACCGCTTTCCAGCCAAAGGGTCGTCGTCGCCAACGTCGTTGTCCGAACCGTCCGAGGAACGCTGCCCCGCCGCTACCGTATCGGCGGACGTTGCTTCGCCGCATGTGTTGAGGACGCTGTTGATGGTGGCCTTCATCATCTCGAAGGCGGCTGCCGCGGCCGATGATCCCTACCACCGCAAATGATAGACGGACATGTGAGGCGAAATCGTGATAGAGATCGAAAGTCATTCTTAGTGATGAACTTCGTTCTTGGCAAAGACTAGCGTTTCTCGTGCACACTCGCCTTTCTTAAATCGAGAACGAAATCACGTGAGGAACCGCTTGCCCGAAGTCTGTTGTCGGCTCCATAGAAAGGCTAGATGATGTCGGTCACGGAAAATGACAAGGAAACATTTCAACATTTTTCAGCCTAGACTAAACTCCCAAACGCAAACAATGTATGTCCACAGATATGCGCGCCTGAACGTACGTGGGTTTCTCCACAAGGTTTCCCCCCAGATATCCAACAATGTTATCTCCGATTGCTAAAAGCAGTGGATAAATTAGCGGAGACGAGTGCGCTAACCCCAGGGTGGGATTCGCCCACGAGGACCACGACATGTTTGACATAATGGCAAAGTATACCATCTCTGTTCTCGGCCGCACTCTTCAAACGAACGATGCCCTTACCTTCTTGGCCTCCTCGCTGGAGATACGCTTCGCGTGGAAGTTGAGCAGGCGGGCGTGGTCCTGTCGGCCTTTCATGGCCACACCAGAGCCAAGAAAAAGCTGCTGCAGCTGTCCAACGTGCCGTTTGCCTTTGGCGGCCCACCTCTGAAGTCCTTTCGCCTTGGCCTCGTCGCTACGGTCGCTTCTGGTTGCCACGCACATCCCGCCCTTCCCGCCCTTCCCCACACCCCTGGTCTTGTTCTTCTTCAACTCCTTGTGCGCGGTCTGAAGGAGGACAATTGCTTCCTTCCGTTCTTCGGCCGTGGTGTCGCGAAGCCGGCCAGCAGCACTGCGAGCAACCTGGGGCTGACTCCCGCAGTTGCCGTCGCCGGTTCCGCTGCCACCGCTGCCGCCGCTGCCGTCGCCGGCGTCGGTGGCGGGCGAGCCGGCCTTGACAACCGCGACGAAGAGCATCAACAAGTACCCCACCTGTTGCACAACGCCGGCCGGGGTGCCCATGAGCATCTGCAGCAGCTCTCGGAGCTGCTTTTGCGATGGGTGGCGGACGACCTGCTCCGAGACGCCGACACTGACGGCGGTGTCGTTCATCTTCCTTGCTCCTGCTGTAGCTCGTGACATTTTGTTGGTATTTTTCTGTCGGAAAACAGAAGCGATAGTGTTGGGAGTGCGAGCGAAAACAAGATTAGCCCCAATCGAATGGCCTCCAAGTAAAATGAGAGATGCCGGGTTGTTGGCAGGTGCAGCAGCACCGTGCGAGAGGGTAGTCTGTTGAAAGTTTGGTGTCAACGATCTTGATTGCAACGAATGCCAAAGAGTGCTGTGGGCGCCCATACAGCAAGGCCAAAGTGTTGCAAGCGTTGCGCTATATGTAGACTTGTATGCGTAGACGATGCCCACTAAAGTAACCCACTTCGTTTTCGATAAAAAAAACTCAGTCGAGGGCTAGCTGCCAATGCGCTTGCTTGCGCTTCGACACAACTCTGAAGCTGCTCTCACGCAACACCCCACCCAGCCAAACTTGCCAGCGTTGGGTAGTCCACAGAACGAATTCAGCTATTTATTGTTGAAGCATTGGCATAATCAAGCGTTGGCACATCATCAAGTTTGTTCGGGGGGAACCTTCGGTGGGTGCATCACCCGCCTCACCTCGTCTTCGAAAATAGGTAGTAGTATGTTAATAGCGATTCGCCAGAAGTCAGTTCTGGTATCGAGTCGCTGAGTGGTTGTGTGGGTTGCGCGTACTCTACAGACTAGTGCACACAGATGGATCTTTTTGATGATCAGATGAGTTGCACCGAGCGATACGTTCATAAAGTTTCAGCAGTTGTCTCTTTGAAGCGAACAAAACGGTGCTTGATTGAAGAGGGAGATTGCTCCGCGCAGTATTGGAATCGTTGAAGAAGTAATTACTTGAGTGCGTTTGAGAACGATCGTCGAGATTGTGCGACGAATCTGTTGCCGTGTGAGCTAGTACCTGATTTCCTGAACGATTTGAAAGTCGTCGTATTCATCACTGCCGAAAGGCTCACCATATCTAATCATGTAACGTATCTCGCATGTATGTGTGCTGCGGCAACATCACGAAAGAACCGGCAAACCGTTTTAGAACAAAGACCACCGCACCTCACCATACAACTCTAGTTCTCGTCATTGTATGCGGCGCTCTTCGTCAAGTCTGTGACCGTATCCTTCACCAAGTTGGCACTGTTCTTCGGGCAATAATAACTTGACAAGCTTTTTTGGGAAGTGCTTGTTACAACATACGTACCTGACAGTCTAAGAGCAACACGCCAGCGGAAAGAGGCTGTGAGGCAGACGCTCTTTGATGTTGCCTGTGCACGTGCACCTCTCGTCTGCACTCCTGGCCTGAGGTGCTGCACTGCCGATGCTCTCCTGTGCATGATCATTCTGTACAAACAATCCTGAGCCTCAGGTTGGCGGTGCAGATTCTATGTTTGTGTGCTCGGCCAACTATTGCGGGAGGGGAGTCCACGGCCGTTGCACGTACTCAAAACGCGGTAGAGTCGAAGTACAACCGTTTCAGATCCAAACGCAACTCTTGGTGGGATTGCGCCGCGTGTGCTATCTCTGTGTTGACGTGTTGACCCAGCGAGTGATAGCTGAGGACTAGGATATCAGAATACGGTATGTTCTTGCTGATGGGCTCCATAGTATTAGTTGGTGTAACACATGTATGACGGTGCCTTCGTTTTTGTACGAGGTTCTGGGCGCTTCACCGACATGTGTGCAAAAGTTGATGAGTGCCCAATGTCAAAATTAAAAATGCTGGTCGTGATGCATGTTACATAGATTGTGTACATGTGACACCGGTCGCCGGAGTACGAGCACATTGTCTTGGGCCTGTCTGGCAGGAACCCCCCCCCGACGATGAACACCCCCCGCCTTCGTAGGGTGCGCATTCATATAGTCTACGTGGTTCGGGCGTGTTTCGATGGCGAGGTGAGGGGACAGGGGGCGGGCCTTCTTTCTCTTCGTGCAACGAGCCCTCGATCCATTTGCTTCGGTTGGAGAGCGGACAGCTGTCGGCGCACGGAGGCCATTGATGACATTGGCGAGTTTTATGTATATCGGGGTACCCATGATCAATGATCAAGGGAGAGAGAGGCCTGCCATCTTAAGAGACCGAGCTCTTGTGGTTTAGAGTTACACCACACGCACCGTTTTTTTTACGGTCGACAGCTGTCACTTCTACCTTGTTGTGCTGCATCATCACGCGACTACGCAGACGTCAATCCAGTGCCGAGGTTCGATCGAATTCAGATAAACCCAACACGCATTTAAGAAATGTGTGTACACGAATATTCAGGGAGGGGTGTCGCCGTCAACGGTCGCCCCGTTTTACGACTATCTTAAATGCGTGTACACGAATATTCAGGGAGGGGTGTCGCCGTCAACGGTCGCCCCGTTTTACGACTATCTTAAATGCGTGTACACGAATATTCAGGGAGGGGTGTCGCCGTCAACGGTCGCCCCGTTTTACGACTATCATCAAAGCCACCCTCGCATAACGCACCATGCGGTAGAAACAACCTCATTAGTGCACACCCCTTAATTAACACTGCGTGCTGCCAAGTAGAATGCTCCTTCTTGATTTGACTTCAGGTAATATTGCGCATCCCCATCTCGACGGCCACCAACTTAATGATGAGGACGAAGATACGACGACAGGTGCCATCCACGAGAGACGACTACCACACCGCAAGCGGCGAAGAGATGGCACCCCCCCGCTGAACCGACGTTCAATCCTCGATTTTGCTCCACAACAACCAAGGGGGCGCGGAAAGAGCCCGATATTTCTACCGGCACCTCGACCGAGATGTTTCCGAATCCACCGTTTACGGTGTTGGCTGTGGAGCTGTGGAGCTTGGAAAATCGGCCCGGGAGGGGTGCCATCCTCCGCCTGTTGCGGCAACACACACAGGCCTTCCCTTCCAGCAGCTCACCCACCCACCCCCTCTGCCAGCGTCTGTTTTTCTAGATACACCTGCTGCACTCGAGAGACACCGCCCCCCCCCCGGAACACTTCCTTGCGAATTTTCACAAATACTTTCACAAAACCAAACCGCTCTGTCTGACTGTTGTCCAGTACGCTCATATTTGATACTCCGGAGAATACAAGATACTGACAATTCCGAGGCATCCACTTCCCCTAGTCAAGGGGCTGTCTGTCACACAAGCAAC